TGAATGCTGGGCATGAATTACAATGAACCAGTACTGAGTGGGACAATAGTCCCTTTTTAATATTATTAATATGTTCCATCACTCTAATTTTGAAAGACCTTTTTGTACGACCAATATACATGGTCTGTGAGGCAACCAGTTTCGGTTTTTATTGAAAAAATTTAATTGGTAATACTACTAGTAAAATGCATACTTTTACCTAAAGTTATAGGTGAACACGCTTTACATCTATTACATCCCTTAAAGCCCTTTCTTTCTTCATTCAACTCACATTTTTGTTTTATAGCATAACTTGGAGCTAGAAAGTTTTTTTAATTTTTATTTTTTTAAATATTAATGTTTGTTTTTTTTGGTAAAATTTCTCCCAATAAAGGATCCTCTAAAAGGATTGGCCAATGTTTTTGTATACTTTTTTCTAATATTTAAATGATCTGTATTATACGGAGTAATAAATGCAGTACGAAATTGTTCTCCCTTGTCCTTAACTTTCCGATTATCCATTAATAATTCATCCCTCCTTCTCCCTGACATTATTCTGATTTCCTTTTCTATTGAGTTTTTATTATAACCCTTTTTAACTAATTTATCTTTTACGTGTTGTGCCTGTCGTGTAAAATCTTGTAAGTGGGTGCAGTTACGTCTCACCCTTGTTAGCTGACCCTTTGCTATCCCTCTTAGCCATGGTTGGTAATGGCAACTTTTTTTGTGGACGTAACTGTTCCCATCTGTGGACAATAAAAAAGGAAACCGCGCCCTTATTGTGATACGAATATACGTACTCGGATCCTTAAGATCGTGGTATTTTCAATAATTAACCTCAAAAAGAAAAATATACAAGGTAATAGTGTAATACTGTAAATACTTTGATTAATAAGAAACGAATGGATAAATGCACACTCACATTTACCAGAGCTAATACAGAGCTCTACTGTTCTTGCGCCTAGATGGAATAATCCCCGTCTCTGCATTAATTAGAAGTGGTCAGCGTCTTGATGGTCTCAAACAAAGAACACATACAAAGGCATAGAAATCTACATAGTGTAGTATATACTAATACCTTAAAAATAATAAATGTGTATAAGGTAGCGTACTCACATTTGCTAGAGCGTGCATCGCTCTAGCTAATAAAGCTTAGGTGGCATAATCCCCACCAAGGAATAAGGTGGTAACCAGGAAAAAAATAATAAAATGGTATCTCAGAGTGATGAAAAGTAATATAACTGTTTATTGTACATAAAAAAC